ACGGTAACTTTTAGCCACTTGAAACTTGCACATTATCAGACTAGAATTGAAGGGGCTAAAAAACTGTGTACTCAAAAAAATTGTAACACTTCCCAGACAAAAAATTGAAATTAAGGTGAAAATTTGTTGCACTTTTTTGTAGTTTTCTACAAATTGTTACATTTGGGTTTATATGGGGTTTGTCTGAGAATGAACTGTATTTTAATTCAAAATTCTTAAAAATAAATAAATAGATAGGCTATAGATATGACCGATACTGTATGTACATACTAGTTTTTTTCAAACATGCGAATAACTGGAGTCACTATTTAACAGCCGATTTCACTAGCAATTTAAATGGAAAATTATTTTTTATTTTCGGTCAATTTGCATATAAAATTCAAAAAATTAAAATCATTTTTCACTTAACGTGCTTTCGTGAAATTGACTGTAGCAGAAATAATACTAAATGTGTAATTTTCTTATTCGTCCACAACTATTATTTTTATTACAGTATTTCTCGATTATAAGCACTCGGATATACCCAAGCATTCCATGCTGGGAAAATTTCAGGTCAACTTTTGTCATAAAAAAAATAGTATATTTAAGTTCATATGTATGGACTTACATATAAGCACCGAAAAATTTATAAAATTACAATTTTTAGGCACTTAAACGCTGTTGTTTTTTCTTTGATCCCTAAATATTTTTATAATTGAGTACTTTCAAAGTTGTTGTAGTTAAGAAGTCAAAAATATTGATTCTATATAACGCATCTAATGTTGCGCGCCTAATTCATAAAGTGAAGTAATTTTTTACCTATGGAACCACTTTTAAATACTTAACTGAATGCATAATTTTGAAAGAAAAGTTTTAATTAACTAAACTACAAAAAATGTCGAACATTTTATCTATTTATCAAAATGCGAAATCCAAAGTATACTTTCCCGTGTTAACAGCCAGAAAATCCTTTTTGCAGATTTGCAGAAATCACTTTCGGAAATAAAAATTGCAATTTGCTGCAAGTGCTGTCAAATCAATCAAGTGTTGCCGTGTGACGCGTTTTTTTGGCGAATTTGTAAAAAACTATGAAAATGTTGAATAAAATATGAAAATATGTGTAATTAATTTATTCTACTGTGACTGTTTTGTTTACATTTTAGCAGGTTTAGCAAATTTTTCAGGCCATTAATTTTGTTATAAAGGCCTGTATGCAGCTCTCAAGAGCAAAAACTCCATATAAAATGACGTACAAGAAATGGCTAAGAAATTTTCTTGAGTCAAAATTCCTTAAGGCAGTACGCAGTTCTTAAGAAATTTACTACGCTTTCTACTACGGTTTTCTAAATTTTTTGTGAAAAAAGAGCACAAGGCAACCCAGGTTTGCAACAGAAATATTTGCCCGTTCCATTATTTCTTGAGGAAAGAGTGAGGCAACAGGCTGTGAGGTATAAAAAATGTCAAAATTCCATGGACACACACGCGAAATAATGGCAATTTTTTCTTGACCGTTTTCTTGAGAGCTGCATACAGGGCTTAAGCATAAAAATGTCTGGTAACATAGTTGAAAGTGGGCTTATCTGCACTCACCGTGTAAACAGACAAAAAGTAGTATTGGAAAGTTTGATTTTCAGAAATAAAAAGTGCTTTCGAAAGGTTTAACTGCTCCTGCAATCTCTTTTGGAAATTCTTAAGTTTGACAGACTTTTGTAAAGGCCTTGCACTTGCCCCGTCTAACAGCTACTTTATGATTTGAGCTGTAATAGTTCCGATTGGCAATGTTTGTATTAATAGCATGCAGTCCTCGAAAGAAGGGTCAAAGTTCTTCTATAATAGGAATTGTAACAAAAACTGTTATACTTTCATTTGTCTCAGAAACGAATTGTATTTCTAATAAGTACGTCTATTTTTTTTCTTTTTATTGATGGTTAGATAAATACACAATAAATATGTAAACTTTTACTTTTTTTTGTGCAAAAAAATCCAGCGGTTTTATTTGTTTATGTCCAGATAGGTATTTCATTCAAATGTCCAGGTCGATTCCAATTTGGATCTGGCAACCCTAATGGTCTGTGTCTATACCCATCAAGACATAAATAGACAAACATAAGAACCTAAAATTTTTCGCTATCTCCAAATGGTTTCTAAGTTTCTATGGCAGTCGTTTTATAGCAGGAATGTAATCGGAGGTTAGGCTCAACATTCGAAAAACAACTGTTACTTATTAGCACAGGCCTCTTCGATTTTACTCAGACCAGGAATCGAAACTGGGTCCCACTAAGTTCATCTCTATACTCGGCTATCAGGTCCGCCTCAACAATTTCTGAGAGGAAATTTTGTCTTTACTTTATTTGCATAAAAGGAATAGAATGACATGTCCTATGTATAAAATGTTTGAAAAATTATACCTGGAGAGCACAAAATTGAATAGTGTAAAAAAAATTTAATTTAAACGCCTTATGTGTATAAAAATATACCGTTTAAATCATTTTTATTTTAGGCTTGAAGAAAAATTTATCTTTTTGCTTATAATTGAGTTTTATATCAAAAATTCAACTTCTGAAGTGATCTTTAAAAAAAGTGAAGTTTAAAAAAATATGTATGTATACATTTTTTCAAATCCAAATTTAATAACAAAATTAATTAATTTGCCCCAAAAACGACGATTTACTAATTTAAAATAACTCAAATTCGTGCTTTTTTTAATATTGCTTAAGCTTATATTATATGCTTCGTCGTTTAGACGAACAATACCATTAAATTGTTGGGGAAAAAAACACAATACCAAACCCGTGGTTAACGGAAACTGTATTTTTTGACAAGAAACCGAAAATGCTTTATCCGAAAGCTCAACATACATATCTAATGTACGACCACTGTATGATGCATCAAATTTACTGATTTGCACATCACTATTTTAACGTAAACTTAAAAAAAAAAATTGCTTTGCCTTATTTGAATAATATACATAGGTACATACCTACTGTTGGCAGAAATAATAGATTCGCCTTATTTATATTACCAGTTTGGCTATATTGGCTTTGTTTTAGTTAAAGCTTAATGTTTTCTTATAAAAGTCTAGCTAGTTTACACAACACAGGCCATCTAAATCCGCATTTCAAACTTTGTACAAAAATTTAAAACTTTTAATTCAGAAAACTTTTTATTTAGAAAAAAATCTTCGTATGTATGCAGCGCATTAAATTTTAGTACAATAAAGTGCAATTTCAAGTGGCTACAAAATACTGTAGATTTGTAATATTTTTTTTTTCTTTTTGGTAATTATCTAGTTGGGCTTTCAACACCCAACATTTTTTGTTAATAACATTTGATCGGGTAAAAAAAGTTAATTTCCGCTTTCGGATTCTTGTTATTGGGGACCAAACGCGTCTAATGGTACCCCCTTTCCAAAATTTTGACCAATTTTGGGGGTTGAAGGCCCACCTAGATAATTACCATCTTTTTTTGCTTACGGTATTACGTACTTTATTCCATACAAAATACCTATGTATGTATTTACATAAGTTCGATTTTATTTTTATATAGAAGAAATGCCTCCGTCAAAAAAACAAATCGTAAAAAATTTACGGTATTTGTTAGCCACTTGACACTCGCACTTTATTATAATAAAAACAAAACTAGGTACATACCTATCAATTTGTTTTTTTTTTTTTCATTCTGAATAAAAACTTTGAATTTTTGGTTAAAAGTTTTGCATTTTTATAAATTTTGTATAAAGTTGCATAACTAGCTGGACTTTTATAAAAAATTATAAAAAATTAGATAAACCTAAGAAATACCTACAGCCAAAACTGGGCAAAATAGGCGATTCTATTATTTCTGCCGCCAGTGTACCTCTGCATGTTGCACCTGTGCGGATTGCGCTTTTTAATAATCATCATACAATATCGCCTACTTTCGACGGTGCTTAGGTATATCCGAGAAATACTGCGTTTCTTTAATTTTATCATTCATCCTTCAATGTTATTGCATTTCGTAATTTCTCTATTTAGTTATTTTTATTTTTATTTATTTTTTTTTGCATTTTCCCTTGTGTTATTTAATTGTATGTTACCTATGCATTATTATTATTTAATCTATTATGTACATACATACATATGTACACAGATATATGTACGTATGTGTATGTATTCACATTTTCATCACATTTCATTCTCAAGTGTTTGAGGCGCGCTTTTATCTGTGGCACGAATACGACGACACCCACACAAACAACGACAACGACACAACATACACACACAAACTCGTTATCACTTCAAAGCGAACACACCTCTATATTTCCATAAAATATCCACTGTTCTGTCATTTCAATAAACAAAACATAAAAATATGGGCGCTTTTCTTTGATAAGAATACACTTCTTTTTCCCACAAGTTGAAGGATTTAAAAATTATTATTTTCAGAATTTTAAATCAACGAAGCAGTTTCTGCACAAATTTCCAATTAAACTTTTATCACTGTGCAATAAGTAGTGTGTGTCTACTTCTCAAAAAACTCCACAGTTCTTCGCACGAAAAAATAAATTAAATGCACTGCAAATTTTTCGTGCGCCGTTTTTTTGTCGCAAGCGCATTTCCCCACTTTGCATTTAGCACTGAATTTGAATTTGCCACTCACTGACTAGCTGCTTGTTGTGTCTTTGCTGTGAGTTCTTTTGCCATTGTTGTTTGCTGCCACCGCGCAGTCAGCACATATGCCGTGTGTGCTTTTTTTTTGACTGCGGCAAGAAATAAAATAAAAAAATTATTTTGTGCAATTTTACTTTTTTTACATATGTACTTCTTATTCCAGTAAATTCGTGGTTAATTGCACATATTTGCACCAACAAAATTTTTTTTTTTTTTTGTAGAAAAAATTTTAATGAAATATAGAAAAATAATATTCGTAGTAATAACTAAATAACACACACAGTATTTGGAACAGAAAAATTCGCTTGATAATTAAAAAAAAAAACAGCTTAAGTATTTTCAATTAATTTTAATAAAAAATCACTTCCGTACTTTGAATTTATTTCGCTGCTACTTCACTTGCGCGCTGCCTTGTCGTTTCGTCTGCTTGCTGCACTGCTGCTGATTCACTTAATTTTTCAGTTCAGCATAAAAACTTGAGATTGTGCATTGCACTCCATGCATTTTACACAAAATTTTTATGTTTTCAATCTTAGTTTATTTTTATGCTGTTTTTTTTCTCGTCCGATAACACTGGACATTCAAGTTCGAAATCTTTAATTCAATTCGCTTTGATTTTTACCGCGAATCATCGTTTCCGCTTTTATGGCTTTAATTTGTGTGAGAACAGAAAAATTGTGTGCCGTTTTATTTGCTATTTTTCTTCCATGTATTTTTGTGTTAGAAAATTGTTTTTTTTTTATTGTAAACGCGTTTTATAAAATTTCTTTAAATAAAATGTTTACTGTTTGTGTTTTTTGTTGTATTTAATAAACTTTGAGTTTTTTTTTTTGTTGTGTAAAAATTTGTTAGAAGAAAAACGTTACGAGACGAGTGCGCACACACTTGCTGCGAGCGAGCACCTCCGAAACCTGGGGCCGAATTAGACGAACAGAATTTCATAAATTGCGTTTTGGCCCATCAACCAGCGCAAAAGCCTTGCGTGCAAACCAACAAACATCCATCGCGGTCGACGTCGACAGCAAAGCTGCTCACCGCAAGCGAAACAACCACCGCTTGATAGCACACATGCAAGCGAACACACACGAAAAGAGAGCGAGCGACGAATTGCAGAGGAAAAGCATTGTCCAAAGCGCTGCCACTGACACTGACAGCGACGCTGTACCGCGCTGCGACAAAAGCGGTTGTAAAGCGCACTAGCAGCTAACAGCAAAAGCAGCCAGTGAGCAAGAATATCAGGAAGCATAAATGCGGCGCACATAGTCACACACACACACACACACGCAGTTTGCGCTCACGTATGCGAGTAGCTAAAAATACTCGACAGCACAATTGCACACTCGAACAGCGCAGTAATTCTATACAGTGTTGCCAGGATTTGTAATTAAAAAAGCTAAATGACCCAAAACAAGGTTAAAAAAGGCCAGCAAACAAAGAAAAATGTAAAACAAACAACAAAAATGTAAATATTTCGACAAACAAAGTACTTACGATCATACATTACAATACGATTACAATCGTGAATGTTTCAATTGGAGCGCGCAAACCGTATATATACGCAAATGAAGCAAACTAAACGGCGAAATCGATTTCTATTTGACAAACTGTTTAACTCGGCACCGGTGCTTCAAAGCATACCTTCACCGATCCAAACACGAACCGGAACCCATAAGCGCAGGCCCGTTGAAACGGCGGGGAGGGGGTAAAGGGAAGAATCCCCCGGTATCGGGCTTTTTAAAGAGCCTGAAATATCAGTAGCATAGCTTTTAATTATTTTTTTACAATGTAATTGGTCTTTTGTTATAGGCTTTTACTATAATTATATTCCGATTCCTGCTGATTGTTTCTGACTCTATACTTTAAAGAAAATTACCACGTGCTGTTAAATTAATGCAATTGATTTTTCATTCCGGGCACCGAGTTTTCTCTCGACGGCCCTGCATATTCGATTACCATGGAGGATATGTAATATAAGACGTCTTTTTTGAGTGTATGCGATTTGACAGCACCAGATGCAAACTTCTCAACACATCTGGCGAGAGTTTCAGGCCTGAGTCACTCGTGGAGGCTATGCTACAAAGCAGCGAAAAATGGTCGGCAGCATGTGTCACAATACCCGAGGCGACGAAGGGGCTAAGGACGCCAAGACGTTCCCACGACAGTCGAATGGCTAAGGCATAGCAGCGGCGACTAACTAGCTATCTCCCTCATGATATCGTTCCCGTGGGGTGTGGAGTTCTAAGCAATAACATGATTTTCCTGGTTTTATAGGGACACTTGAGAGCCCCTGTAAAAACAGTTAAAGTATAAACAGAACGAGTTCGCTGAGTACATTTCATCGGACGGAGTGATGCCGCCGGGTGATATTCGCTTAACATTTCGTCAAGTAAAAATTAACCGGAACAATAATTTAGTGCTACTACTTACAAATATTGTAGAGGATTGTCCTTAAAAAAATACTAATTTGAAAATAAGAAAAGGCTAGACGACAAAGAAAAAGCCAGATCTAGCCCACGAGCTGGCAACACTGATTGCATAGTAAAGCAAGAATATTTGTAGTGGTGTGTTTTTCAGTTTGTTTTTTTTTTTGGTTGTTGGAGTGGGTTGGGAAGGGGACCCAATCAGCAGCAAAAGCAATGTATGCAAAAAACAGCAAGTGGTCACAGCGCGAAAAGACAGCAGAGTAAAATGCAAAGAATGGCTGTTGAAGAATGACTGGTACTGAGAGAGACAGCGCACTGAGTGAAGCAGGCGCACATACCAGATATTTACTGCCAGCAGAAAACTTATAAAAAAAATTATAAGTTCTCTGCTGTACCAAACAGTGGAGGTTCTAGTTCGCTATTCAATTGTTACAGTGGGTAATAATGAGTGCAGCCATTGATATACGTATTTTTTGCCTACGAGAATACCAACCTGTGCGAGCCCAAATATTCGATCCGAATCTCACCTATTCTGATAATATTTTTTTATGTCCAAAACCTATTCCAACTCTTTCTCCGATTTGTGCGTACAGTGTAAGATTTGGCCAATCTAGCTACTTTTTATTCTGTAATTTGAAAACTATTGAAGATAGATTAATGAAACTTTTCATAAGATACGTTATAAGATAAGCTTTTCACAAAAAAAAAAAAATGTCATTTAGAGGTACTGTCCTGCCAACGTATAATAAATGTAATTTTTAAAATGAAAAAAGCTGAAATATTTAACTAACTACAAAAGTTAAAATACCAAAAGTTTATATTTAGAATTTCTTTGTAGCAAGGAGCTATAAAATGACGCGAATTGACTTAAAAATTGTTGTTTTTTTACTTACAGGCGTGACAAATATCGATAAAAGAAGTCAAGTTGGTTGGGTTGGAGAAATTCCGTTATACATAAGTTCAATATTTCTTGCTCTATTTACAAAACTGAAAATGCAATTGAATTACTCGAGAAAAATAAAATTATATTAGGCCTGAAAAAAGAAAATTTCATCAAACCAGCACTTTGTGGTGTATAAGTCTAAGAAGAGTGGCGAATAAACACAGATACACATTTTATCGACTAATCGCGGATAACGAGTTTGACTGTCTAACGAAAAAAATAAATTTCTAAAATAAATTTAGGTTAACATCGTTTAACATAAAATACTTAGTCCTAGTTTACTAAAATCCCTCAGTCCTCGTTTACTAAAATCCCAAAAATGTATATTCATTAAAAGGAACGTATCTAAAAAAAATAAGACCAAAATGGTATTTTAAAAGCCCTTAACAGGATTGATGGTTTTTTGTTTGTTTTGAGTTATGGCTGTTTTTTCACATATACATAAATCAATAAAAAAAAAAACATACATTTTATGCATCTTCAAGCATAGCCTGAGCGAAAGGCGCTTTCAGCGAAAAAATTTCTTTAAATACAAATTTAAATTTTTCGAATAATCCCAACATTTAACAATCATTTTTTTACGCAAATCCCTACGAGCACCAACACTATTTCAAACGTCAATATAGGAAAAATAATACAATATCCCTACTCCGTGAACGTTTGAAAACTGAGAGCGTTTTGCAGAGCATAGAGTGCTTTACGGATCTATACTGTATCAGTGACAAATTTTTGTTACATTTTTGTTACGGGAAAATATATGAAAAAGATTCCATTTTCCAGTTACAAAAGTTTAGTCACCGATACAGAATTGAGCTGTTAGTGTTATAGTACGGTGGCAGGGCGTATTTGCACCGCGTAAATTTAAGTTTTCAAATTCGTAAGTACATAGTACGAATACTTCTTACAAATATTCTTACTTCAAACAAATATTCACCGTTAGGCAAACGACATAACCATTTCATCCTTAGCCTAGGGTGAATCATCGGAAATAGCGCGCCAAACTTTGATATAAAAACCGTCCGAGAAGTTCTATAAAAAAGAAAATTGGTAAAACTTATAGTAAAATTGACACCGACTTTGAATTTTTATTTAAATTACTGAACAGACTGTGTACTAGTAAATTTTTCTAATTTAAACTTTTTCCGGAAAAACTAATGGCTCATTTCCAACGGGAGCTTAACTGCAGTTAAGAGCTCAGGTTAGTTCCATGAATTTAGCTTTTTTACTTTCGTTTTCTTATACTTAATATCAGCAGCTATCCCCTTCGAGTCGTAATGTCTCTTTTCCTATAGGTATGAACTGCAGTTAAGGCTTGGTGAAAATCAAGTATTAGTTGCAATATTGCGATGGAATTATTTCACGTATTTTATACGCACATCTACCACTTTGTCATTGTGCAGCACAACATTTTCGTTCCCAGCAAACTGGCTTCTGTCTTTTCGCTTTATTCGCGCTTTGCAAAGTTGTTTCGTGTGCTTTTTGGTTTTTTCGCCTACTAAGTATTTTGGTGCTCAGCTGTAGGCATTATTTCTGCTTTCGACCTGCACGCTCTGCAGTGCTTGAGCAGTGCAGAGAGCGTTGTGGCTAGCTCTCTGTAAAACCAAATGGATTTTTTTATTTTTTCTGATGGTTGCTGCGTCAGCGTCGTCAGTGCTGCTTCTTGTACGCGGTGTGGTTGCGCGCTCGGTTGCATCATGTTGCATGCAGCACTGCCTTTGCTCTTTCAATTGAGGGGTGTTCAATGGTTTTGTTGTTGGTAAACCGTTGGGGTTGTAAAGCGAAATAGTAAATGTTTAGGGGTATCCTCTGGCATTTAACTATCCAAATTTGCATTTGGGAAAAATGTTAATATACATATATTATAAGTTTTATATGAAAAGCTGGGTTTTTCGTAAGTATGGACATTAGGATGCCCCTCGAACAAAAGTTGTAAATTTTGCAAGAATTTTTTGTATACCTTTTTTAGGGCTCTGTCATTCTACGAGTTACTAGTGGAATTATGGGTCGGAAAATTTTTGGGATATAAATGGGTTAACTTCTCATTAACAGATATAGTAGGCATTTTACCGGACATTTTAAAACTGGAAGGTTTTATTACCAAAATTCGTATAACCGCCATTCTAGCCACAATGGAAACGTTGCCAAGCAGTTAAGCTATGATTTTTTGATGAAACTCTGGCAGGCATCGTAACGGCTATGATCTTTAAAATAAAATTCATAATTTAACTGTTAAAAATTGCATTTCTATTTTTCCAATGAAACTAAACCATGATTTTATGATTTTTGTTTTTCGATCGATGTTTATGGATTTGTATTTTTTCGATCAAGTCTTGATTTTTATTTTTAGTTTATTTTATATCAATATTATTTTCAGATTTAATTTTTTAAATCAT